TTCCTGTATTTAGAGGAACTACCCTTCTTCACAATCTAAAATATCCTCAAGCAGCCATATGTTCCGGACTTGTAAGTGAACAAAAAGTGGAAGAGGACTCTTTCAGCAAATTAACTAGGAGTGTGTACAAAAACTTGAGGTATTAGGTAACACTATTACCTATGGCACATGCAAGATGGAAAATTCTATCACTAAGACTTAATGCTTTATCAGCCAAAAAATTATTGAGTCAGAATTTTAGTTAGTTTTGTTTTAAAGCTGTAAAAGTAAGCTCAACTTTTTTTTCCTCACTGCCTACTCTCCTTGCCCTTTCTTTGACATCCTTTCCTGGGTGCATGGATGCCCATCGATGGTGGTGACAGATTAGTTACATATAAAATTCAAATGTAAAGAAATTGCCATTAAGGTCATGAACAACCGGTAGTTTATCTTACGTGCTCCCCACACACCTTCTGGTTCCAGAAAGTCTGTCAACTCTGCTGCTAATCTACAAGCCTATGACCCAAATCTGCCCAACAAACCCCGCCGTCACCACAGTGCTTCTCCCGCAGAACCCCGCCCCAGCTCCTCGAAATGTCATCATGCACTCCTCCATTTTCCCCCAGAATGCCCCATACGCCAATCTGAATCTAAGTCAAAGTGCATCTGTTCAACATGGCGTCAGCCTAAAGCATATGACCCAACGACTGGCTCCAATCCCTTTCCGAGGTCAGTTTGATGAGATACTGACGAGGATGACAGACTGGCACAGTTGTTGTCTCTCATGTCTTTTTTTTCTCTCTTTCATTTAGGCTTTCAATCTAATGAAATAAATAGATATCGGTATAACAGTACCGGTAAGTGTCTTGTTTCTAAGGTGATTATTTGAAATGTACAATATGGACTCTTGTGAGTACTTGTAAGTAGCTTCGGTGTGTAAAAAAGATAATGTAAAACAAACAAAAAGGCTACAAACTGCATGGCTAAAAGAGTTTCATGATACAGAAAGAAAGAAAGAAAGAAAGAAAGAAAGAAAGAAAGAAAGAAAGAAAGAAAGAAAGAAAGAAAGAAAGAAAGAAAGAAAGAAAGAAAGAAAGAAAGAAAGAAAGAAAGAAAGAAAGAAAGAAAGAAAGAAAGAAAGAAAGAAAGAAAGAAAGAAAGAAAGAAAGAAAAAGTTTAATTAAATTTTATTTTTAAAGGTAAATAAAATACAAATTGGATAAGGAGATTGGATTAATCTTTTTTAGGTTTAAATAAACTTATTTTATTTAAATAAGATAGATAGATAGATAGATAGATAGATAGATAGATAGATAGATAGATAGATAGATAGATAGATAGATAGATAGATAGATAGATAGATAGATAGATAGATAGATAGATAGATAGATAGATAGATAGATAGATAGATAGATAGATCACTTTAAGTGGTCTTAATGATTTGCCTTTTATTTTGCAAATTTACTTGCATGTCTCTTTAGCTCAGTTCAACTCTGCCTTTGAATGGCCTGTGTAATAGCCACCACAGAGTCACTAATACTTCTCTTTGTTACTTCAACAGGGACCCTAAACACATTTGTTAAGTCATTTGCCTCTGAATGTCATGTAAAGGAGCTCCTGGAGAAAAGTTTGACACAGCGGTTTCCCCCTGCGAGTCACGCTGAGGGCCCACACAGCCTGGTCCTGTCTTTATAACCATGGAGGCCTTATGGCAAAGCGAGCGCGCTGGACAACTGACCCCCCCACCGGCCATTTATTCACTTTATTACAAAGGTTAATTGTTCTTCAACGAGAAGCGGAGGAATGAAATCATCTAGCGGGACTTGATTTGACGTTTTAGAGCTTAATATGAAAACTTTTTTTTGTGTTTTAAAGACCATATATATATATATATATATATATATATATATATATATATATATATATATATATATATATATATATATATATATATATATATATATATATATATATATATATATATAATGAAATACATTCTACAATTTATGTAACTTTATAATCGTCCTTGTTTACTTTAGATTGAGGAATCCAGGGAGACATCCCTTGGCAGAAGATGCGAGAGAAAAACCTACAAGAAGGGTTCGATGAGAAACATGCCAATTGAAAACAGGCACAGGAAAAACTCCTGTGGAGGTGTGATCTCACCCACATTAAAACATAAACGCGCGCAACAAATGGCCAGCTTCTGCGTAATCATGCCACGAAATAAGCAGCCATAAACAGAACGGGGAAATCCTGAGTTACGATTTAAGAGTCGTTTCTCTTTTGCGTAGATATAAAAAAATGCAAAATTTAAGTTTTCATAGCTTATTTACAAGCGAAGGCGGACGGAATACGCACACACTGGGAGATATGTTTTTTAATCTGAAATATAACCATACGTGCATAAAGATACATGTAAAGCATAACTTAAGCATCCATGGCTTTGATGTGAAACGGGTGAATTAAGTGGAGCAGGAGCAAAGTGTCCTGAGTATAATTAAGTTCTGGTTATTACATTCTCTTTTCACCTTTCTACTCCTTCCATCACATGTAATTTACACCGAATGGTAAGTAAACCGCCTCTGCAACCACAGCGGACTGTCATCGAAGCAATTTGTCTCCTCAGCTTTCCAGCAGCTGAAGGTTCAACAAGCCAAGGCCGCATGCATGCAGCAATGACCCACCGAGGAATACCCTGACATTAATGGGCATCGCAACGAGCCATGTCGCACTTTAATCAGAGCAAAAGCGGCTTAAATTTATAATAATCTAATTGAAACGCAAAAAACAAAAAAAAAAACAGTAAGTTTAAAACAAAAAGCTAATTTATTTTCTTAATAAATGGCTTGGTTTTTCACCAGAGAGTAAGATTAGATTGAAAAACAGAAAATAATAATAGGGAAAAAAAGCATTTATTTTATTAGCTTTTTTTTATAGGCAGTCACTTTTAACAGAGACTTCTGGATTGGATAATTGTATAATTAAAAATAAATATAACAGACTTCCTTTTTAATCTAATTTCCTTTAACGAATGATAGATTACTGAGAAGCAAAAGGGAAACAACATTTCGTTAGAATAATTTTCTGAAGAAGCCGGAGGAGACCCGCCTCTCTCCCGGGTCAGACTTCCCTGCTCAGTCTGCCTGTTTCCCTCCACCTAACAGTGACCATGATGAGCCACAAACAGCTTCCAGCAGCGGGACCTGAATTATCATATTGTCTTTAAACTCTTAACAACATCCTAAACCCGGTCAATTTATGATGTTTATTATGCAGGAAGTGGAATGCATGAAATAAAAGGAGCCCAGTGAGACGCACCGCGCACCAAACCAAGTTTATTCCTGTTATTCCCTCCATGCCTGCTGTATTCAACTTTCCTGCTCCCAAGGAATTCACTCATCCGTTCAGGCCATGTGTTTTAAGTCAGCGGTTCCCTATTGGGGTCCGGTGACCGGCAGGGGTCACTGAGAAGGAGCCAGGGGGTCGCAGGGAAAATAATCACCAACTTTCGGCTAAGGGGAAGTTTGATGATCCAATATAACCCATCTGAGTCAGTTTCTTTGTAGATCCGCTCATGGCAGGCTGCATACGAAATCAAATTATTTTTTTTCTCTTTCCCTTTTTTATTTATTTATGTTTTTTTTTTTTTTTTTTTGAAATTGTGTCTGGTTATAGCAAATCAAGGGAATGTGTAGAACAAAAATCCTCAAAATTTTCTTAAAACCATTCATTTCATTGTGTGAGAAGTTTTATTGGAACATTTTTTCTTCTTTTTTTTTTTTGGTCTTAATTTTCAAAACTGCGTCAGACTGTACGTCAATCCTGCTTCTGATTAAGTGACTGCTTCTGATTTATTTGACTGAAAGTGCAGTTATAAAAGACACGCTTCAGAAAGCTGTGCGCTCAGACAGAAAAACATATATATGTATATATATATATATATATATATATATATATATATATATATATATATATATATATATATATATATATATATATATATATATATATATATATATATATATATATATATATATATATATATATATGTTAAGCGCTCACTGAACCAGTGGCCCACTGTCCCAGTTTCATGCTGGCATCGGGAGCCAGTGGGCTCCAAACATTCACAGTTCAGGCTCCAGGCCCCTACTGACTGTCATCTCAACCATATTTCAAATGCAGCATGAGGAAAAAGCACAGAAAAGGCTAAACAACAGAGGGACATAGGAGAAATATACGCTCAAAGGAACGAAATCATGTATTTCCCATTGATTTTATGCACAAAAAAAGTCAGTGCATAAAATCAGATGGTCGCTCTACTGAAGCCAATTGCTGTAAATAACCTATCAATAGTGTTATACGTAAAAACGAACAAATAAGATATCAGTTATTAGAAATAGTCATTCTAGGGGTATGTTTTTTTTTCATGTTAGAAAATTGGAAAACTTTTCAAATGAGTGGCAGCACACAAACACACTTTTTTTCTTCCTCCTTACTTTTCTTTCTCTTTTTAACACCACTTGGACTGATATGCAGTCAGGGTGTCAAAAGACCACACAAACAAGCCTAAAATACACGCAGGCGACCTGAAGGAAAAGTGTCGGTGGGGGGCAGGCTTGTGGTGGAGAGGGCGCCGCCACTCCCCGATGAGACCTGCTGTGTGGAGCTCATTTTTCTTGAAGTGGCGAAAAAGGTCCCGCAAATTCACTGTTTGGTGTTAATGAATAGAGAATACACATCTTTTTTTACATGAACGCATGAGATTTGCTTTGCGCATTGATAACTGTGTATGGAAACCTGCGCCGGTGCGTAAAACCCTAACATCTCACATATATAGTCCAATTAAAATGTATGCTTTTGTTTTGATTCTCATTGAAACCAGGGGGGCGGAATGGGAATATGGACTAAAATAAGCTTTCGGGCTCTTGAAATCTGAGTGGAGAATAAAATGCGCTCAGGGGCGAGCCTGCGACGCACAGCAACACCAACAGTAGAGGGAAAAAATACAGATATTTTACCTTCAACGGCGTAGACCACAGACACCAAGAGGCTGCATAAAAGCAGAAAGTAATCCATTGTCACAAAGTGGTCAACTTGGACATGAAAACAGAGCCGCGGCTGAGAAGAGTGGCGCTGGAAAACAATCCCCGGTCCAAAGCTCCACGCACCCCTCGTCCCGTCCTAGTCACAGCTGCTGCGTCAGGGCTCCAGAATCAGTGGTATCCCCATTCAACAAAACGCACAGGGGTGAGAGTTCACGGGATTTATTTACCACCCTCCGAATTAATGTGTAAAAATTAAAGTCCTTCACGCCTTTTTGTTATTTTCACTGATCCTCAAAGCGCCGTATTAAACCAGAGAGGAGGCAGGCAGCGGGTGCGTCCCTTCCCTGCGCACTGAGCAAATGGGAGAGCAGGTAGTCCAGTCCTCGGTCACCATCCAGACAACATTCCCGATTGGATTTTTGCTACAAAACAACCTGCCCTGGGATATTCCCCGATACTTTTGTCAGCAGTTCAGAGCAGATGAGTCAGAACCATGCCTAGTGGTCCCATTTCAGCATGTGCGCGCTCACGTGCGTCCGTGACCCAAAGGTATTCCTGTAAAGAAAACAGCCGCGCGGTTCACAGATATTTATTCCCTGAGCGAACCTCTCCACTCCTGGCTGCTCCGTTAAACCGTCTGTGTCTCTCGGATCGTGCACAGGAATGAAGCTCCAGAGAGGGGTGGAATAAGGAGTGAGAGGAGAGAGAGAGAGAGAGAGAGAGAGAGAGAGGAAGCAGACACCAAACGGGCACACAGGGAAGGAGGAGGGGTTCCAATGGAAGCAGCTGCGCTCAAAAAAAAATGCCCACCTATAAATTCATTTAGGTGACAAACATTTTGTTCTAAAAAAACACAAGAATGAATTTATTTGTTACACTGTCTGTCTCCTTCAAGTTATCTCTCACTGCACCATAGAAATCAATCTCCTCCTCACTTCTTATTATTTAATGTATTACTTCTTTAAAAATGTGGGTATTTTTCTTTTCTTTTATTCAAGTGTTTATGGCAGTTTTATCCACCTTAAAGCTAATTTTGCTCTTTCTCCTGTATGTACAGTGGGTGAATTTGGCTGTTGCTCTACAGTAATGGACACACAGCGCCCCCCTGTGGCTGCTCTCTTTTCAATTGAAACCTCCTGCTTATTTGCTTCAATCAAACAACTTTTATTCTCCATTTACAAGTTTTTCGGGACACCGACCTGACACTATAATGTAATGAATGAAAAAACATCTAAGAATTATTTGACTATGTATATATATATATATATATATATATATATATATATATATATATATATATATATATATATATATATATATATATATATATATATATATATATATATATATTATTTTTTTTTTTTTAAGTTGCAACTACTTATAGCAAAGTGTGTTGCCTGAAAAAGCCAAACCTATAAGACTGCACCAGTACACTTTACTGTGTATAATTCCATAGGACATTCACCTATCACCAGGATAAATGTTTATTTTTTCACGTCAGTGGATAAGATGAAGAAAGGGAGGCATCTGTCACGACCTACCACCAGCCTGTTTTACAGCCTTTCCCCTTTCATTGTCCCTTCAGTTTTAAACACTTGTAGTCTTATTGATTCACATTGTGAAACAAACAGCTGTCAGCAACGGTTTAAAAATCGACCCAAGCTTATGCAAAACATCAACAATGTCAGTTCTTTCCTTTTTTTGTTTAGTAGATTTAGATTTTTGTAATAACTGAGATGGTCTTCAAGAAAAGGCAGTGATTCAAAAATGTGCTTACAGAACGCCTCATCCAAATGACCAGGGATGGTTTTAAAAAAATGTTACATTGTACATCATTGCCTTGTACATTTTCTTTTTTGTTTTATTTTACCGAGTGCCTATATATTTAATTAACTTTAACATTGCATAAGGTAGGGTTTGAAAAAGCCAGCATTACTGAGCTGCCTTGAAACTGACTATGAATTATGATGAAAGCTTGTTTTTATACACTGTTCAATTTTGGGGGGAAAAAACAAACAAAAAAAATCTGTACATGCATGTAAGATATTTACTGTTAAATTTGATTTAAAAGTTTTAGTTTTGCTCTAGTTGTAAAGAACAGACCTTATGCTACAGTGGATGTTATGTTCAGTTCTATGCCAAGAAAATTGTTAATTTAAAATGCTGATTTAAAGAAAACATGGGCTTCAGTTTGACTGTATGAAAAAAACTATTTTTTACAAATTCGGATCCATTCAGGTAGGAAAATAGTATTTAAAAGCAGTTTTGTTATTTCCTATACAATGGTACATAATGATGCTGGTTTTTTTGTTTTTTTATATTTATTTTTTTATCTAAATTTCTTCTTCATATAAAAAAACTTGTAGTTTTTTATATGGAAAATATTGAGTTGTTAGACAATAATCAGTTATATTTTACAATCATATTTGTTAGGAAAAAAAATACAAAAGTACAATCCTACTCTGAAATTTTTTTTAATGTTACTTTGTTTAAAACATGCATTTTATGAAGTATTAAAAAAAGTATTGCATTCTATTCATTTTTGGTACACATATTCCCAAAAGTAGCAAAGTAATTGCAATACCAAAACAGTAGAAGGATAAAAATAAGCCTTCATCATTATAAATAACCTAAAAAAGCTAATCAATTTGAGCGTTGAGTTAAATGTTCATCTTGAAGCAGGGATTATTCTAGATGAAGTTTATTATTGTAAACCAGCAATAAATACATTTTATATCCAACATAATTAAACACAACTATCTAAAAATCTTTGATTATGATCCAAATAATGAATTCCAAACATTTCTATACTTTAAATATAATCAGCAATAAATATTCCCAGATGCATATGTATAAATACAATTTCTTGTATTTCTTTCTCCATGAAAGTCTAATTTATGTATCATAAATAATTTGCAAATATCAAAAACTGTATTTTAGTATCTGATTTTTTTTCTTTTTAGATAAAAAATACCCTATAGTCTATATCACCAGCAGGGTGACCTAAACGAATATTTTCCTATATGTTGCCAAAACTACAAAAGCCTAGACTCAACTTTGCCGCTATTAAATGGCAACCAGGCGCGCTGTAAGTTATGGCTGCCACCTTCTTAACCTCAGTTTGCTTCCTGCTTTACCTAGAGGAAATATAGAGTAACTCTGTAAAGAGATTACAACTTTTTTACTTCATTTACTTCTTTTTTTCTCATACTGAACCAATCTATATTAAATATGAAGATCAGAAACCAAAAATTATTGTGTAATCCACCTTCTCATAAATATAAAGAATGGATGGATCAAAATTGTAAATTTGTGCTTGGAGTAAACCAACAAGTGAAGAGCGTTTTTGTTTTTTCCACCAACTAAAATGTCTTTGTTAATATTTAATCAAGATCTTGTACTTTAAAGTTATAATGTGGCTGTGTAAACTTAGGATGACTTAAGTCTTTGTACACTACAGAGTTTATTGTTTGGTTTTTCCTGCAGAGTCTTCTTAGTAAAGGTAACAGCAAAACTATAGGCCTGTTTTTGTGTAGTGGCTGAATTTTATGGCTTCAGGCCATCTGTGTTCTCCATACACACAGATGGCTTATTTTTGGGAATGTCGCATTGATGTTTTCTGCCTGGACACCCTGCATAGCCATTACCCTCTTCCACACTATGCCTTTATTTTGAAGATTTCTTTTACCTTTACTCTGTAATTCAGCCCCCATGAGGAAACATGATATTTTAACCGCTTTTGGGTGCAAACTCCATGAAACCAAATTGTGGACATTGATTTTGTCCCAAAGCAGTGTTTGATCTGGTTTGAAGTCCGTAATTTGTTTCAAATGCGGGCTAAAACAAATGCATATAAACACGTACTGCACACAGACACAAGGAAATTGTCCGCTAAGTGCTCCTGAGAGCGTCCCAGCAGCACCTGGCACACATTAGAAACCCAATAAGCAAAGTGGCAGACATTTTACTGCCATATGGAAATTTCTCAAGCTTGCACCTACTGAGCTCTTGCCAGACCCTTGCTAACCTCATCCATCCTTCCTCCCACTCATCTCATGCCAGGATATCAGTGTCTCTACTTTCTCTCACACAAAAACACAAGACACAAGACCTTGTCTGACGCACACCAAACTTCTCTTTCGATTCCTCCCCTTCGAATCACATGCCTGGATGCATACACAAACACACACTCACACAATCACCCCGTTTAATGTGTCTAAAACTCCTGCAGACTCCACACCCCTCACACACAGGCACACGCACCCTGTGGCTCTCATGTCTGTGTTTGCTCTAATAGCAGCACTAATGTGAACTGAGTGTGAGAGGATCGCTTTACGGTGGCAATATTAAGCGGACAGAAAGATCTTGGTTCTGTTTTAAGTGTATTTGATGTGTGTGTGTGTGTGTCGAGGGTTGAATATATGCTAGTGAAAATGAGTGAAGAGGCAAAGTGTATTGGTAGAACTGGTGGAGGAGGAGGAGTAGTTGGTGTTGGGTAGCTCTGGAGAATCTCACAAAAAGCTCAAAGCTGAAATCCAGGAAGAGAGGAGTGTTGTGTGTGTGAGGAACAAAGAGGAGGGCTGTTCACAAGAGTTTTAGGACGGAGGTCTAATCCTCTAGGCCTTCACCACTGACTGAGCACTTAACGCAGGATTCCCAAATTCAGCCAATGCTGGACCCCCTCCCAAATAACCCTCACCCACCCTGCTTTGCAATAAAAAAACACCCACTTGGCTTCATGGCCACTGCTGTGACTTTAACAACAGTACTGCTGAATATCGCCACCTTCGTCGCAGTTTTTCCAACTTTCTTAGTTCTTCATCTTTACAGGTCCCAAACTTTTAAACCACTGTCTCTGGTACCTATTTCCCCCCCCTTCAACACCTCTCCTCTTATCCCAGAAAACATTAACTTCACTTTCTCAACTCACAGAAGATTTATGACTCAGACTCCAATCACCATGGCCCTGCAGTCTTCAGCCTGACAAAAACAGTCAAAAAGTCTTTTAGGCCGACAGACAGTCACAGATAGTCATTCGAATGCACGTATGAGGATGACGGTATCTTGCAGGCACACGCATGCACAGCTGACAGACAGCCTGAGCCTGTAAATTATACACTGTACAGACAACACGTAAGAGAGAAATAACCTTTCAGCACCGTAACAGGATTATGTAGAGAACACTCAGAAGTTTGACAAGGCATGTTAGAAGCTGAGGATGAAGAAAGTGAGTAAGTCATTGAAGTTGCTCCTCTTGCAAATGAGGTTTGGTTTTCAGCTTTATGTGAAGGCTTATGGATATGGTTATTAGGAGTGTTGGGGCAGTTTAGTGTTTCAGAAGAAGTATTCAAAACAAGAACCTATGACTTGAGAAAGGGGAATTGATATTTTGTCATAATATACATGACATATGGGAAGCATATGTCATGTATATTATTACTAGTATTATTTTGCACAATATAAGTAAGCTTGAAGTGGTCACTTAATTTCTTTTTATTTTATTTGCCTTGATTTGTCTAAAATGCTGTACAGGTGACCACAGGTCATATAAAATGTCAAATAAAAGCAACAAAGAGAACAGATAGGTCCAATTTATTTTCAGTAATATGGTTCCAAAATTAGTTATAAGCATCCTTCTTTCAACATAATCCTGCCAATATTAGATTTAGGTACATACAG